GAAAGTAAATGGATTAAAAAGAGGATCGACAGAAATTTATTCGGCAAAATTGAATTTCTTATCTCTGAAACTTTATTAGTACAATTTCTAACGACTTCATCTAATTTATTCGCTTTTTATGGGATATCGAAAATCAGATATTTTGAAAGATACTTTGAAAATAAAAAGACGAGTTTTTCCCTACGTATTATATGTACATATCTTAGAGTATAAAAATAATTCTTCAACAGCGCCGTGCTTTAGCTTTATCGCGCTAAAAACGAAAGAGAGAAAGAGAGTCAACGAATACATATCAAGGAGAGCCCCCTTAATTCGTCATCCGGAAACGTAACGTGTAATTACAAACTGCATATGAGTGCAAAAGCTAGTTAGTCGCTTTAGATGGGAGCGCTTTGAAGATGAATCTTATGGCAAAGTCATGCGGGCAGAAATATATCCCCGTTGCAAAAGTTAAGAACGAGAGTCATCATCCTCGTCAAGTATGACGAAACCAGTGCAATTAAGCAACTATCTTTTTCTCTTCTTCTTTTTTTCCTTTTCCCCCCGGTCTCACGCTTGAACCCACCTTTTTGCGTCTTTACGCGATAATTAGCGCATCTTCAATTTTCCTGCCGGTGCACGTATTTGCTTTGCATAACTGCCGAGATAATTAAACAAGCTACGATATTCTAAGATATGTCAGTGGCAGCCAACTGCGACGCAAAAGATGGTTCACGACAAGCCTACTACTCGAGTTTTCTGTTTCTCAGACATGTAAATCATGTCGCGACACCCACCGGAACCATCTGAACGAATAATTACTGTCCTCTCTTTATGTACAAAGTACTAGCGACACGAAGAATTCTGCCACAAATAATCATGTATCTCACCGGTGTAGCGCATAAAAAATGAAATCTTGGAAAGATACAATTTGCGAATTGTGAATGTGATTTTTATATTATTGAAGTGCATGTACGTGCATGCGCTTACAGAAACGTTTAAAGCATTCGGTGAATTTTACATAACATCCTGCTGAATAAAATACAGTTGCAGACATGTTTAATCTGATTAAAAGCAATTTACTCTCTCTTAAAATAATTTATTTTAAATTTCTGAACAAATATATCTCGAGTCTTAAATACACGAGGGAAAAATATTTGATAAATTTGTGTTTAATGAATTGCAAACTCAACTAGATACTTCTCAATCTGTATAAAAATAAATCAACAAATACCGAACAATCTGAATTACTTTAATTTGTATGTAGACGCACAACACTGCGTGTGCAGAGAGAACAATTTTTCGTGGATTTTTTTTCAGCATAGAAAATTAAATTACTCTCTCATACATCTCTTATTTCGAAACCTATAAATATTACATCCAATAACGGAATGCGAAAACACGCATGTTCGCCGTTTAATAAAGACTCTTCATCAAATTCAACATGTGGTGGCGCATTATTCCAAGATTGTACCAAATAGAATCGTAAAAAAAAGCCCGTAAATAAACATGCAATATAGGAAGTGCAAAACGGAAGCGCGAACGAAAAGCAAGAAAGAAAAAATTTGTCTCTCACAAAATCCCGAGGGACTTCAGACGGACGGTGTCGATATTTGGCGTCCACTATAATGCAACGTTTTCGATTTGCATATCCGGTATACCATCCGAACCCATTGAAAACACAACCGGAAACGATAAAACAATATACCTGGTAGCGCTCGTGAGTCTCGCATGGAAAACACTTGGAAAATGTATTGAAAACACTCGAAAATGATTGAAATCAAACAAGTTACGAGGTTGAAAAAGAGAGAGCGAGAGAGACGAGAGAGGGAGGGAAAAAGCGAGATGAGCGAGAGAGTGAGAAAGATTCTATCTCTCTATCGGACATTCCAAATACACGGGGTCGATAGTTCAGATCGAGCCAACGATTTTGGACGCTGCTCGTTGGCAGGAGATACTATCAACGAGAGCAGTGGCACAGAAGAGTAACTCGACCGCGGATAAATTGGTCGTTTTGGGATTGCTGTATCCACGGTGTATCCACGTCAAGTACTCGTATACTATATATTTTTGCTTTGGGTCGGCCGATCAAGCATCCGGCGGATTATACGAATACTGATTTTTCGTCAATTCATTCAACGACGCGACGTAATACACGAACGAGAAATCTAGTTACGAATATCCAGCAGTGCATGTTTACATCACTGTATGACATCTAACGCAACGTATCTCTTTCAATTCTTCCGGACGATCAACTGTGTGACAATTCGTAATATATTATAAATTATAATATTATTTAAATTTTTCTTTCGTTAATTTAAAATTAAACTTTGCTCTTTTTAGATTACTGCGGCTGACTGGCTTAATTAAAAGTACACTACTTACTGTGCAAACATTATATACAACTCACACAGATGTTCTCTTTATATTCATCTCTCAGATAGAAATCAGTACATCACGTGAAATTATTCATTGTATGGTACGAGATATCGTACGAAAACTTTTGATAACCGCGATGTTTGATAAAAACCACGTCTAGCCGTAGTCAATTATTCCACGAATATTAAAGGACAAAACGAGAATATCACAAATCAGCGAGAAAAATTACATTCTTATTTTTTAAAAGAGAGTTTGATGAAGTAAAGTTTTTTTTAATTTTTTACGCTCAATGTATCCACGTTTATCTATCTGTAATATAAAACGTAGGAGATTCAGAAAGATAATTAGATTGGCACACACACAAATAATTGTGTCATCCCAATCAACAATAATGCGTGTTTCTCTTAATATTTGCGACTACAATAATAATTAATAATTATTATTTAAACTTAATGTTCTTATTATTGGTATTAATGCAAAAGCCATTAGCATGATACGAATTTATATCAACTAGCTCGTCACAAAAAGGCCTCGTATCTCATGTGCGATAACAAACGCGCCACAATTAAAACATAAATAATCGCGGTTTACATAAATAATCGTCGGTATATCGACGCGGCCGTTAATGTGAAACGTTGTTAATTATTAGATTTATTCGTTAATAATTGCCAGGCGGAGTGATGAACCGAGCCGATAATTAACAGGACAACGCAACAGAGTGGGCGAATCAACGCGCGATGAATCCGCAATTAGGAAAAAACCATCGTCAGTTCCACGAACATTTATGAAATATATATGCAGACTTATGGAAGCGTAAAATATGTATAAAATCATCGCTCGCGCTTGAGAAACTTTGTTTATGCATTAAGCGAACGATGATTACGTTATTGACAATTATTTCGATATAGAGTATCGTTAAGTAAAATGCTATAATTATAATTTGTTTGTAGCGGACAGCTGTTGCCAGCAATTACGCGTACACTTTTGTCTCAAGCCACGTTACATGAGACCCTGCATAAAATCCATTGCTCTATTAATAACGTAGAAAATATTCAGCTTTATAGCTGAAATCGTTTCTTCAAAAAAAATCAGAAAAAAATTAAGTAATCGCACAGAGATACATAAGCGATTAACAAGTTTCGATGTTTTCACTGTAGTTCTCAGCTCAGATATAAATCAATAATATGTTTATCAATATGTGACAATGCTATACATATATATTTCATAAGAACTACGATTTTTCGAGATACTCCTCTCTTTGTTTTCTACTGGATTCTATTTGTAATATATTTATCGTATCGGTAAATCGGGAACACCTAGGAGTGTCGCTTCGTTTCTTCGCGTAATTAATACGAGCCGACAATCGCTCATCTGTCGCGGCTGTATCGTTGGACCGTGGGACAATACGGGATGAGTACGAAAGCGCGCGTATCAACACTTCTCGCTCGCGTCGATTCATTAAGACAGCTTTCATAGGGTCGGGTAACCGGCACGATTATTGCCTCGCCTGAAGCGTCCCAATCAACAGAGCGTCAGGTATCCTTGTATGGATGAGCGCGTGTCGAGAGACGGATGGGCATATAAACGAAAGGGCGGGGGTGGAAAGAGGGTGAAGTGCGAGGAAAGGGGGGTCGAGCCGAGCGAAATAGAAGATAATTCCCATTGTTCCGCGTTGGACGCCCGCGAGGCGCCCGCCACTTCAAAGCCACGTTGCGCGCGCCAGTTCGCCTCTATCTCTCCCGAGCCGTAACTCTCTCATCGAACCCGGCGTCTGGCAGTTAATGAACTGCCCTTCGGCAATAGCAACGTACATACTAGCCGTCCTAGGAAACCCAGCCAACCGCTGTAGAACCATTATCCATTTACATAAAAGGCTACCACGGAATCGAAACTGAAGGCTTGCGCGCCGTTCGCTTCTTTCCCTCTCTCTCTCTCTCATCCCTTCGAAAACTACCCTCTTCTCGTAGTTGCGGACTAATGATCTTCGATAAAATGCATCACGATTTTTATCAATTTCGCCAACATAAAAAAATTCAAATGTTATTATATATAGGAAACTGTAAGGTTGCAAAAATGTATATTTTTGAGCGCTCTTTGCGCTCAAATAATCCGAGTAAATGGACGATAATATGATTTCTGAAAAATTGTATACAAAGTTATATTCGCGCGTATGTTATTATAAATTAATGCTTATCAAAATTAGAAATTTATAGAATGATATGATTTTATTATCGCACGTATCTATATACATGTTGTGAGTAAATATATAGAATAAAATTATGAAAATTTTAATAAATTTATTCCACTGCAGATATATTAATTTATTAAAATTTTTATAAATTTATTTTATATTTACTCATCTTTTTTTAAACATACAGTGTATTAGTAAAATTATCGAATTAATATATTTAATATATTGGAAGAATAATAATCCTGCACATACCATTCATCACAATATACGTGATTTCTTTTTCTATAGCTACAACAAATTCCTAATTCGATAATCTCATAAACAGAATTATCCACGAATATCTGAATTATTATTAAGCTGATGCAGCTATATCGCGAACATCATAAATTAAGTATCCGTACATATATCCGCACGTATATATATATATCCACAGAAAGGTACCTATACCCACCTATCGATGTCATAAATTAGAAATAAGGTAGCAGCATAACTATCTTAATCGTCAAGTTATAGGTCGCTCAGACTTGTTACATTAATTAAAAATCAGCAGAAATAGATTTAGACACCGGCTTGTAGATATAATAGATATCAATCATCAGCACTGAAACCGAGTGAAACTGTACACACGCTAAATCAAACAAAGTGGAAAGGAATAAAAAGTAGGACGCAATTAATCAAGAGCAAACTAAAGCTACGTCTACGAACACGTGAAATCGCCTAGTCTCGAGTGGCGACACCTTTCTCGTGTCCCCTCGTCATCTGGACACCCAGCTGACACGTTCGCCAGCAAACGACAACACAACGAACAGAGCCAGAGCGAGTAGCGGCTGCTCCACCGTCACTCACTCACAACAAACCACCCCACTCGCGTAGAATCGTCATTTCCCGGACGACGACGAGGCGCCGCCACCGCAGAGGCGCCTCGCTCGTTTCACTCACCTGAACCATTGATGTGTGCTGGCACGCGAGACAGACCTCCTCCCCGTTTGACGGCAGTCTGATGGCGTAATCGGCCGACCCAGGTTGACGACGTTCACCGTACATCCGCCACCGTCGTCGATGGTGGAACCATCGATACGGCACGTCCTGACGGACGACGACGCGCACACGCTTGCTCAACCACGCCCGCGAATCTATCCCGCCGCGCGCGAGAAAGAGACCACGTCAGAGGTGACCCGTAAGAGACTAAAATAAAAGAAAAGATCCCGGGGTGCGCCGGTTTGTTTACGGATATCTATCCCAGGCCTGAACGAGAATTATCACAGCCTCGGCGACAGTTCTCTCTCGCTCGTGCAAAACTCGCCGCAGCGTGTCGGCGGATCAGTTCAGCGCATGCGACGAACGCGCGCGCAACCGGTGGATCGATCATCCCTTCACGAGCAACGTTCCTTCTCGCGATATCCCGCCAAGGTTTACCGTCGCGACAGAGATCGAGTATAGAGTAGAATAGTGTGCGGTAGAACCGAGTAATTGATTATTTGCGAGAGACATACAATATATTTTCTAATGTGCGGTTAAACTGGTATAGAATTAATAATTTAGGAAATATATATATATATATATGTGAATATATGTTTGTGTGAAAGAGAGTTTAGCATGCAAAAATTATGATCGAAGTTTTCGTGTTTGATAAATGTTTGATCCCTATCTGATCCCTCGCTTAAAAATTAGATTTTCGTTTTCTTGTGTTGTATCAATTGCTGATCTGTTTTCACGCAGACAGTAGTCGAAATAAGTATCTCTGAATCTCAAAACGTGTTACATTTCATTATTACATATATCCTTGTTAAAAGATTATGAAGACGACCAAAGCATAAAAGTGACTGTAACCCGAAGGGATGAACAAGGACTAATCCGTCGTGAAATGAAAAAAAAAATTATTAGAAAATTTCAAAGTCGATAAGTCGAGGAGAGAGCGAGTAACGTGGGAGCTTTTATGCGAAACCTGGGGAAAGTAATTTCAGCCGCGGGCGATGAATATATTGTTCAGAAACAGCGCTTGATTATAGAAGCGTAATAACAGATTTAGCCGTGACCGTGGCAGCGGAATCATCTTCCGAGAGAACAACAGTAGCGCATTTACATATTCAGAAGAGCAGCCGCAACGGTGAGAGCGAACACTTTACGGTCGCTGATTTTCCGGATCTTTAAGTTTAACTCGGCTGCGTAAAACGCCATGTGGATCATGGCCGATAAAAATATTCTCTTGATACTCCCGGACTATCCCGGGTGCGTTTCGCTGCTCTTGGCAAGCGCTCATTTTCCGCACGATCATCGTTCTCTAGGTGGAAAGAACTTTGAATAATTCTAGAACCGAGCGGAGAGAGACTTTTCGTAGCGTACAATTGCATACCGTAAGAGCTCGTCCGCGTGCATGCCAAAAAGCGCACACCGTAAAAAAATGCAGTAGATATTTAAAAATATATAGTAAACATGTACATATAATGCGATTCATGAATAAAATAAGTTATAAAAAAAGGCCAACTTAACGAGCTGATTAATTAGGTGTTAACAATTTATTCTAAGTCATGAAAATAATACAAATGATAATTAGTAAACGTTTCGACTGTACGACAGTCTTTATCAATACAAATATCGCTTTGCTAACATATCCATAAATCAAATAATTTGGAAAGACAGAACTTATATCATACATGTAAAATATATAGACTTATAATATGAAAAACGCAGTATAACACATTATAATTGTTGGCTTGAATTACGGCTGATCGTTCGAATTAGTCGTTAAAGAGCCTAACCCCGAACATCAGATTTCTGTAGTTCTTTTTAAATAAACGTCTAATTTTGTAATCCATGATATAATAATGATATGTAATGAGATCTATGTCGAGACGATAAAATTCTTTAAAATATTTCTTATTGAAAAACATTATAAACCATAATGAGAATACTTATTGAGTCAGCTCTTTTAATTTTTAAAGCCACAATCTCCACTTGATTCCTCTCGACCAATAGAGCCAAACGCGATGTTATTGCGACAATTATGAAAGAAAGAACATTTGAAAAGGAATTTGAATCCTATGTTCTATCAAATGTTCTTTCTTTCATAATTGTCGCAATAACATCGCGTTTGGCTCTATTGGTCGAGAGGAATCAAGTGGATATTATAAACCATGTATACTTTGTAAGAAGCAAACTCAATATATGTCTTGACATTAGGCTCTTTAACGACTAATTCGAACGATCAGCTGTAATTCAAGCCAACAATTATAATGTGTTATACTGCGTTTTTCATATTATAAGTCTATATATTTTACATGTATGATATAAGTTCTGTCTTTCCAAATTATTTGATTTATGGATATGTTAGCAAAACGATATTTGTATTTGTATTGATAAAGACCGTCGTACAATCGAAACGTTTACTAATTATCATTTGTATTATTTTCATGACTTAGAATAAATTGTTAACACCTAATTAATCAGCTCGTTAAGTTGGCCTTTTAATTTATAACTTATTTTAATTTTACACGAGCCGAATTTTATTTCTCATTATATATATATATATATATATATATAAAATGAATAAACCCATTGACTATATAATATCACTTAATCTATATTATCTACGTAGATTTCGTAATATTTTTAAAATTTTTGGCTCTTTTTTTTCGTGGAAAAAAAATTAGCCACTATAATTAAATTTTAGCTGTCCTATATTACAACCCGAAATTTAGTTATCAGGTCTACATTTTACCATAGCTATGGTAACTAATATTTTTTAGTTATAGTTAAACGGAAAATTCTATAGCTAAAAAATATTAGCTATCCTACACTGAAAAAAATTACTAAATTATAAAATATTTATTTTAATACTGCCTAATAAATCTTTTATTGGAAACAAATAAATATTGATTTGTTTTGAAAAGGATTTTCTTATATCAAATAAATATTGTATTTTTTACATCAAATCTATATTATCAGTTTTAAATAAATGATTTATTTGGCAATATTGAAATAAATTTATTCAATAAATTTTCTTTCAGTAGTTAAAATGTAAGCATAAGAACCTAATTTCATGCGTAATATAGGAACAGTTAAAATTTAGCTAGCTTTAGTAACTAATTTTTTTCCACGTTGGAATCAATTTGACAAAGAGACTCGCTTTTTCTTTTCGCGATTAAGATTATATTTTTCTATAATATATCAGAGGACAAAAATATAGAAATATCTCTGCTATAGAAATATTTTTGCAATATTTACATGTGGTTGTATATATATATATATATATATATATATATATATATATATATATATATATATTATATATGTTTGCGTTTACGTCGGTACGTATTACGGTCGCAACTCGTTTCGTCGCGGCATCAGGAGGGTAACGGATATGGCGGGCATACGAACCGCCAGAACATTGAGTGAATTATTTATTCGGATGGAATTAAGTTTAAATATTTTATCCTCAGACTAATCTCACGGGTACAAGCGCAATTTATTTACGGGCATCTCGTCGACCTGCCAAGTCTGCCAACTGCGTCTCGACAATATAAGCACACGTGTGACAAAGTATGAAAGTATAAAAGTTCTTGACGGGAACTGACCAGATCAGTTTGCGAGAAACGAAACACGACGATAGTCGTGAATATAGGTCGAAAATAAGGCCGTCCATCCGCGGAAACGAATGATCGATATTGCGACATTTCATAGACGCATAGCGAGTTTATTCGTGTGCGGCAGATCGTAATAAGTATCATTTTCGAAGCGAACTGGGTCATGTAATTTAAGATGTACATATTTGTCGTATGTTGTAATGCCAGATTACTTCAAATAAATGTAAAAATGGGAGACATATATTTAAAATACGTATAAAAACAGAAGTATATAAACGAAAGATAAATATACGCGTTGATAACATAACGGAAAGTGAACCGCAGTAATAAAATATTGATCCGCAGTTGTAAAAATAGACCGTTAGATAGAATAGGAGAAGTGTAAGTCACGAGATAAAATATCTAAAAGTTATATATATATGTATTTGTAGTGATTTCTATATATACTTACTTGAAATAGTCGCGATCAAGAGTTCAACGCTTGGCGCATAAGACGATTCGCCAATTTTTTTTCCTGCAAGTGACGCTGTTGCAAAGTCTCCAAGTACTGGTCTTCGAGAACGTCATATGAAACGAGCGACGAAGTGAAATTCGGCGTTTTCTCGAACGTTTCGACCTCTCGGGCCGATGCTTCGCTCGTGATAACTTCTTTTTCCTTCGGATATCTGATGGGACACTCTAAGAGGCTCTCTTGCGTCGCGCAGTCCGTCTCAGGGATCCTTGAGTTTTCACGATTCTGAGAAAAAAAGGGACAATATAATATATCGACGATGATCTTGCCGCCCGACTTCTTTCAGTCTCTCCGCTCCATTACGGAGATACACGAATAATTGCACGGCGGAAAAGTCAGCCAGAGTATCGGAGAGCAGGGTTGCAAAAGAGCTCAATTTACCTTTGAGGCGGCAACGTTCCGATCCTTCAAAGAGGGCAAGAAACATTTTTGAGCGATGGCGCGTCTCAACTGTGAACACAAAGGAGATAAGTGCTCGCGGGACGAGTAGATGGGTCGCTTTGATCGGATAAATAGGAAGAAAATACGGAAGAATCAAATGATATTCACGGGCTGTGATTTTACACTTTGCTTCGCGTCAATAACCTCGTGAGTCTTTTTCAGCGAGAATGATAAGCATCATATTTTACTTTAGAAATACAGATAAACTATAAATATACATATATATGTATATAAATTGCAAAAAAAAATAAATAATATAACGTCGACGTGTAAAAATAATAAGAGCTATTTATACATAATATATATATTCTATATTTTGTATTAATTAGAGGATTAATTTTTTATATTATATAAAATAAAAAAGTCACAA